CAAAGTAACATAACAGTACTTTTATTTATACAGCTCTCCCAGAGCCAAGGCACTATATAACATAATGAAACACTTCTACTGAAAAACAAGACCCCCCAAAATAAGATTCAAAAATTAAATCTCCTGGATCATTTTTGCCTTTTGCCCAAGTCACACACCACAGCTCATGCTGACTGAAACCCACTCAAAGATGGAGCTTAAATCAAGAAGTCTGCAAAACACCTCTTGTACTCAGAAGTAGGCAATGGGCCCTGTGGGTTATGCTTGCATACGGGCAAGGGTCTGCATCCAGACCACTGCAGGCTGCTGTTTGGTCATGGTGAGGTCTTGTTTCCATGTGCAAGGCTGGAGCACAGGACACCAACAGCAGCACTTCTGGGGTCCTGGGCTGTGGGTGTCTGTGGCTGCAGAGCTGAAATCTGGTGAAGGCTGTCTTTAAAGTAACAGGAATTAGCTTTTTAAAGCGTTGAGTAGGAATCCTTCACCATAAGCCAGAGGAACTATAAAATTAGAAGTTTACATGCTGGTAGTGATGGAAGGTCTGAGCCATGTTCTATGAACAGAGAATTTCACACCTGCCACTCCTCTCCTGACCAGGACCTGTTGAATCACGCTTTGCAACTGGAGCAAAGCACGTGAATCCTGGGATTCCTGAAGGGCTGGTATTGGTCCCCACTTGCAGTCCACCCCCAGATGGCTCTGCCTATCCAGTTGTGCTCAGTCTGCCTCCTTCCCCTGGCATCCCCCAGCTGAAGGGCTCTTCTTTCTGGCCTAACACCAGAAAAAGCTGATAAGTGTAAGGAGGGGTTGGGGGACCCCAGCTCCATCCCCTTGGAAAGCCAACACACTTCTTCCCATCTTGCCCACTCCTGTTTTTCTGCAGCTATCCCTGCCCTCCAAAACGGCCCCAGAGCCTGGCAGTGCCAAGAGAAAGCCTTCCCCCCAGCAGTGTGGCAGGCTCTCACCAAACACAGGAATCAGGTCCAACCTGGAAGCTGCGAAGGCTCAGGAGCAAGAATTTTGTCAGGGTTGGCCATCACAGCGTTTCTGAACACTTACCATCTATTTATTTGATGTCTTTGTATAACCACCCCTTTCTCAAAGAGCTTCCATAAGTAGGTCCTTCATAAAAAGATGCTTTATTTTCAGCATGCCTCAGTGAAGATATTTATTAGAAACCCACAGATACTGGAGACAAAATTTCCTCTAATACCACTTACATTGCTATGCTAAATGTTAATGATCAGGTTGGAGTTTGACATCTTGCTTCCTTCTGAGATGATTTAGCTTCAAATGTGCTGCTTTGCTGTTATAAAATTTAACATCCTCTCTTAACTAACTTCTCCCATGCTACAACCCTTCTTACCTGAGATCTTGAAAATTCCTTTTTTCTTTTTTTCTTTTTTTTGTTTGCTTGTTTTTTATATTAGTGGCCCAGGTCTGGGAAATTTGCTCTCTTCACCCTTCCAGCTGTGCCTGTTCTCAGTTCAATGTATTGAATGGACAGACACCGCAAGCCTACTAAAACCCACAGCCTGCGTGTTTCAACTGGAAGTTTGCCATCAATTTTGAAGGTGCTTGGGGTCTGGTTGTTGGAAAAGGGAAGCACAGATGGGGAGAATAAGTGAGGGTGTATGCAAATAGCCCCATGCTGTGTGCATGTCTAAATGAGCCCATGGTGTATGGTGATTGCCCTTTGCTGCACTTCTCATTGCTCTGATTTTAGAGCAGCAACAGAGGTACATCACTAGTACCACCCCAGCACAAACCTCCTCTAGCCAAAATATTTCTTTACTAGTATTATTTCTTGGCTTAGAAAAATCCTCTTTTGAGTCTTGTTTTGTTTTGAACAAGTGTTTCCCAAAAGTATTTCCCAATTGGATAGTAAAAGGAAAAAAAAATCTACATTGTACTGAAAAAAAAAAAAAATCAGTCCCTGCTGTTAAGCTCTTATATTCTGAAAGCAGAATTAATGAAATGAACATTGTCTAATTAAAGAGACCTTCATAACTTTAGGATCAAACCTTCAGATGGAAGTCATCAAGTTGGGATAGAATGATGCTGTCAGCTCAGGCTGCATGTAACCGTTGAACCTGCATTCCCAAGAAAGACACTGAGGTCAGGAGATGACTTTTTAATAAGAAACCCTAGCCTGACACTTGAGAAAACCACTGGACTGTGGAAACTCTTTGTCCTTAACAGGGCTAAGAGCAGGCTGAAGTTTTGCCAAGTCCTTCACCATCTCCCCCTCCCATCGGTTGCAACATCTCTGCCTTAGGAGCACTGCTATTAACAGGGTTGGTCACAGTTTAGATCTGCCCTTGAACCTTTGGGCTACTGCTCTGACAATCTCTGCGACCCTGGTATTGTCAATATGTAGAGGTATGTTCAGCTGTATGTATGCTGTTTGCCCCCCTCACTTTCATATCCTGCTGCAAAGCCATTATAAACCCATCTTAAGCAAGCAGCCTATAAGCCAAATTGATGTCTATGCCAATAGAAATAAAACATAACCGTGAATCTTCCATAGTCTTTTTTAACTCACATGAAGAGCTTGCTCTTTGCTGCTTGACTTCTTGCAATTGCTTATATTTAAAAAATTATTATTACTATTGGATAACCTCAAAGGGTTTATTAAATTTGACCCACTGAATAAGGGGGAAAGGGATTTTCAACCCTCACCACGGAGGAGCACCACTGAGCTCTTGAAGAAAAGTGTGGTAATATTGTGAGACAAAAAGATTTTCCTATGAGAGACTCTGTAGGAAGACACTGATTAAACTAGTCAGTGTTTACAGAAATGTGCCAGCTTCTCTAAAATCTGATAAGAAGTTTCTGTTTGAAGTTTCTGTTTGAAAGTGTTAAAACTGCTAAAAATTAGCTTAATATCTCCAAAATTTCATTTTTCAAAAACTATGGGAATGATGTTGATGTCATAATTTGGGAAAGGATTTTGGAAAAAACATTGAAAATTTAGAGAAATGGAAATTTTGCTTTGCCATCAACTGTAACCAATATGTAGACACAGCCCTATCAAAATAAATGAAACATCTTACCCACTAAAACAAAAAAAATCGTCTGAGACACATTCAGTACTCAGACTCTGGTGGAAGTTTTGCTTAAACAGGGGGCATAGCATTCAGTTTCTACAGTCTGAACAATAGTAATTCTAGAGCTCAGAATATGTTGTTAACACCATTTGGAGGGCTGTTTTATTTTTTATATATAAACTCTCAATTGCTCAAGCAAAAATACACGTTTTTATATGCAAGTGGTTAGTCAAATGCCTCGGCAATTCTGCAAGAATGAACTGGATGACATAAATAGTAATTTCATATTCAGAATCTGAATAATGTATTGGTACTTACTACTTACTACAGCACATGTGTAGCTCATTGATGTACAATTCATAACACTTTCTTTAAAGAAATAAGAATAATTGAAACTGAGCATTCTTAACAAAAACAGAAGTGGGTACTTCTTTTGGGAAAAATGTCAGATATGCATTGGCTTTTCTTATTTTGCCAGCACCCAAAGGAGAAGAGGAAAAACTGCTGTCACTGAAGGATTTAAGAAGCTGACATTTATCTTTCATCAAATAATAATTTTATTCGAGTGTTAGTGCAGACAATCAGAATAAAAATACTTGTACATGCAAAGAAGAAAGCATTAGTGGTGTATGAAACACGGTAACAAAAAAGCAGAAAAGTAGTTTCAACAATCCTGAATCAGTAATTCATTTTCCTTCAAGAGCAAAACCTAGGTAAAAACCCAAGCAAAGCTATAAATACCTCCACTCCACTTCTGCCCCATAACTACAACCCAATTTTCTTCACAGTTGTGTCAGGACCAAGTCTCTTGCCTAACCTCACGTGTCTCCATGCCAATGTGGAGGAAGACCTGTTGTCATCACAGGCATTACCATCTATGGTGTGGTGGGTTAATCTTGGCTGGCTGCCACGTGCTTACCAAGCTGCTGTCTCACTCCCTCAATTCAACAGGTCAGGAGGAGAAAACAAGATTAAAAAGCTTAGAAAGCCAATACACCCACTGTCCTCAGAGACAAGTTGAATGCCTTCTACCTTAAAAAGTCAGCCATAAACACTGAAGAAGTAAGCATGAGAGGTGAAAAAGAAAGGAAAAAGCAAAATCCTAACAGTCAAATGCTGACATTCGTGAGAGACACATAGAAGTCACCTGGTAATACTAAGCTCCCGAGTTTCACTGACTGAGGGGGGTTGTCATGTCTCTGACATGCTGCTTGAGCAGTGAGTTTAGGAGCTGTATTTAGGCTTCTGAAAGCATAAGTAATCTCACAAGAGAGCTTTGGCATGGAACGGTTCTGAAACTCCTCTAGGAGTCTGTGCTCTGAAATGTTATCTGGAGCTTTTCTCAGCTGGCTCTGAAATGTTATCTGGAGCTTTTCTCAGCTGGCTCTGAAATGTTATCTGGAGCTGCTTTTCTCAGCTGTCCCAGAACAATAAGAGAAGATTTCAGATGTACAGAAGAGCTGTGGAGATCATGCTCATGGGCTCCTCCATGACACTGTGCAACTTCTAGCCTCAGGCAACTCGCGCATCCCAGTCACATAGTTTAGCATATAGTGCTAGGGGATTTGGGGATGGAGAAAAATCTTTCAACACAGAAGACCATGGGTTAGGGCTACTCTTTATGTCTTCTATACATTGCTAGAGATTTATCTTTGGAATAGAGGTGCACTGTTATTTCAAGTTGAGCGCTTTCCCTTCAACAGCTGAAGGTTTGAGGACTCATTCAACAACTAGTGAAATCACTTCCCTTGCTTTCCAGCACACTTTTTTTTCTTCAAATCTTAGCTTTGTAGGGGGATTGGAAAACTTAAACCCAAATTCTGTGCTTTGTAGTGACACAGCTGACTCTGAAGTCATGGAACATAGTAGTCAACACATCTGAGTCTAGCATTTGACCAACTGCTCTTACTTCCAAAGGAGGCAAATCACTGCCAAACATATGCCCTTTAGGAAAGGATACCAAAATGCCAGTTGTTCTCTGTGAACATTCTAGAAAACAGCAGGGACTGCAAGTTTCTGCACAGCCATGCTGTGGCAGAAATCATCTTGTGAGGGCTGCAGTACAGCCATGGCCTTCAGGCTGGAGTTATACCTGGTGACCACAGCTGATGGGAGGGCTGCTTAGTGATTTGAACTGTAAGGTCTGAAAGGAGCTAAGTCAGCAGGGCAAAATAAATTGACAATGCTGGATCACCCTGAGACACAAGTATCTGTCCAACCAGCCCAACCCCTCTCCCTCATCCCCTTGGGAAGCCCATTGTAATGCCTTATCTAGGAATGACTCCCAGCTCGCTTATGGCCCCTTGGCTTTCTGAGGTATGTGGCATATGTTTCACAGCTCTTTGCCACATGAAGGTTTCATGTTCTTGCTTATGACAGTCACAATGGCCACCCCTCCTAGGCTGAGAATGATGCTTTGAGGCTGCGGGACAGTTCATGACCTGGAGCAATAGCCAGAAGAGCGTTGAAGGCTCTCTAATCAAGGCAGTCAGCAGTTGATACCCGTATTGAAGACACAAACCTTGCACTAGAAGAGGCTGGATTCTTTGTAGCCAACAATCTGATGAAAAAGCAAGTCCTCTTTGGATTTTTTTCTAGAGCATGTGCAAGCAGCCACATTTCTACAGAAATACCTTTGCTACTGAAATCAGTTCTACAAATAGCTTATGTGGAAGCAGGGAGCGAGGTCCAGTCACACCAGTGTCATGGATTGGTCTAGTGAAAGTTCTCAGATCTCAGTGGGGGGAAGGCATGAATTCTCTCTTGCTGGAGTTAAATGGATCCATTGAAAAGGTGAAATTTTCCCAGAGAAAAGAATTGAGGCATTTCTGATGTGAGTAGTAAAAAGACTATTTTTACTGAAAGCTTAATTTTGCTCATTTCAGTGACTGTAGAAAGCAAATGGCACTACTCCCAGTTTTGTCCATATTTTCCAGTGCTCCCTACCCAGAAGCTTGTAAGTCTGAACATAATAAAGATCTGGAAGAGGATCTTTTCCTACTTCCTGAACACTCATGGATAACTACTGCCTTTCTAGTGGGAATGACGTGTTGCTGGAAATAGCAGGTGAGATAGAGCTCAGATGTTCTTTGGGAACCCTCTTGGGTCCTGGCAGGGAAGAAGACATTTCCAACAGCAAGAATGGTGTGTGACATGTAGCTGTAGGGGCAGATTGTTCTCTTTCTGATGACCTGTCGCACACCCCCCGTGGATCACTGAGAGCTACTATTAATGGGTGACATATCAAACCTGATCATCCCCCTGCTTCCTGGTCAGTGATTCAAAACTGCAACCACTCCTAGTAAGACCTACTCAAATCAGAGCTAATGGGATCCTTTCCCTGACAAACACCACTTAAAGGGTTGCTTTCTTGTTTTCCCTTCTTCAAGGGGTGCTTACTGACAAGACCTGCCTCCACTTACGTTGTACTGTATGCTGTTTAGCAAAGTCGAAGCTGCAGCATAAGAAGATGCAGGGGGTTCCTAGAAGTACTGAAATGTCAGACTTCATGTATGTCAAGCCACTAAAAGAAGACTGATTCATAAACCCACACTGAAAAAATGAGTTGTTACCACTCATGCAGTCCTAGAGGATACCGGAAAAGTGAAGGCCAATTAAAAGGAAAAAAGTGCACTCTGTTATGAAGCCATGTTGCTTGGAGGTGCAATGAAGGAACAGCAAGTCAGAAGTTCCTTGGGTTAGGTGTTAGGTGTTCTGGTCCCTTCCTTCCTCCCCTTTCTTCTCTGGGAGATGCTTTGCTTCACTGGACCACTCACCTGGGGCTTTGGGGATGAGCAGGTATGACTGCATGGATGAAAACATGGTGAGCCTTGGGTGTCAGTATGAAAGAGACTTCCCAAAAGAGACAGATAACCTATCTTCTGTGTGAAGGTCCAGTTGAGACTCTAGTGTATTATTTGTAGTGGAAGCATGTAGAGAAGACATGGAGCTGTTGTTGATCCTGTTGTATATGGGGACACTGAAGAACAGATCTTTAAAGGTATTTTAAAACCTATTCAGTATTAGGGTTGGAGCTTTGGAAATTTGGACTACAAAGGAAAATATTGAAAGGACTGCCTAAAAACCCCATATGGAGGACTATTACTGTGAGAATGATGACCCTGGGCCAACTGTAGGAGAGGAACTGGTTCGAGACCATCTTAAAAATCTGAACATGCAGAAGTCCATAGGTCCTGATGAAATACATCCACGGGTCCTGAAGGAGCTGGCAAATGAAGCTGCTAAGCCACTGGCCATCATATTTGAAAAATCATGGCAGTCAGGTGAAGTTCCCGATGACTGGAAAAAGGGAAATATAACCCCCATTTTAAAAAAGGGGAAAATGGATGACCCAGGGAATTGCAGACCAGTCAGTCTCACCTCTGTGCCTGGCAAAATCTTGGAGCAGATTCTCCTGGAAGGCATGCTAAGGCACATGAAAAACAACAAGGTGCTTGGTGACAGCCAGCATGGCTTCACCAAGGAGAAATCCTGCCTGACAAATTTAGTGGCCTTCTATGATGGGGCTACAGAACTGATGGACAGGAGTAGAGCAGTTGATGTCATCTATCTGTACTTGTGCAAAGTGTTCGACACTGTCCCACACGACATCCTTGTCTCTAAATTGGAGAGACATCAATTTGATGAATGGACCACTCGGTGGATAAAGAACTGGCGGGATGGCCACACAGAAAGAGTTCTAGTCAACGGCTCAATGTCCAGCTGGAGACCAGTAACGAGTGGTGTCCCTCAGGGATCGGTGTTGGGACCGGTCTTGTTTAACATCTTCGTCACTGACATGGACAGTGGGATTGAGTGTGCCCTCAGCAAGTTTGCTGATGACACCAAGCTGTGTGGTTCGGTTGATATGCTGGAGGGAAGGAGTGCCATCCAGAGGGACCTTGACACACTTCTGAGGTGGGCTGATGCCAACCTTATGAAGCATAACCGTGACAAGTGCAAGGTCTTACACCTGGGTTGGGGCAATCCCAGGCACAGCTAAAGGCTGGGCAGAGAAGAGATTCAGAGCAGCCCTGTGGAGAAGGACTTGGGGGTGTTGGTCGATGAGAAAATGAACATGAGCCAGCTTCAGTGTGCGCTTGCAGCCCAGAAAGCCAACGGTATCCTGGGCTGCATCAAAAGGAGCATGACCAACAGGTCGAAGGAGGTGATCCTGCCCCTCTACTTTGCTCTTGTGATACTCACTTGCAGTATTGTGTGCAGTTCTGGTGTCCTAAACATAAAAAGGACATGAAACTGTGGGAACAAGTCCAGAGGAGGGCCACGAGGATGATCAAGGGACTGGAGCACCTCCCATATGAAGATAAGCTGAGAAAGTTGGGACTGTTCAGCCTGGAGAAGAGAAGGCTGCGTGGAGACCTCCTAGCAGCCTTCCAGTATCTGAAAGGGGCCTATAGGGATGCTGGGGATGGACTCTTCATTAGGGACTGTAATGATAGGACAAGGGGTAATGAGTTAAAACTTAAACAGGGGAAGTTTAGATTGAATATAAGGAGGAAGTTCTTTCCTGTTAGGGTGGTGAGGCACTGGAATGGGTTTCCCAGGGAGGTTGTGAATGCTCCATCCCTGGCATGGACCCCCAGTTTGGACGAGGCCTTGTACGATGAGGTTTAGGGTGAGGTGTCCCTGCCCATGGCAGGGGGGTAGGAACTTGATGATCTTAAGGTCAGCTGCGTATGTGCTGCATGTGAGGTACTAAGGATCTAAAACCAGAAGCATAGTCTGAAAGACTTTTCAACTCAGGAAAGTCGTGCTCTGCTGAAAAGCACATTGCTGTTTCGAGTTAGTAGTCTCCTGTCTCTGCGCGTACATATATAATTTGAAAATCAGACAGTCTTTCCACTTATGGGTCCAAGTGATTGCTGAGTCTAAACAATATGATCAGCACTATGGCAGAGTCTTGCGGGAGACAAGGCTGTGCATTAAACTTATCTCTTTCATTTCTAAGCTCAATGGTTGACTAAGAGTTGCCTTTCTTATCGCTCTGCTGATACTGAGTCGTATAAAGCAGCAGTCACACAAGACCAAGACAACTGGAAGTTAAATTCTAAGTAGTACAGGTGTTAACAAGAAAATACATTGTTGTACCCTCTTCCCTGGGACAAGCTATCTCTGTTGCAGCCTTTGATGCTGCATTCACTCGGAAGTGAGCGTCCTCAAGTATTTCAAACAAGGAGGCAAAATACCTCAGGTTAAAAAGTATAGGGAGGGTGAATAGATGGCAAAGATACACAGACATTTGTAACACAACAAATTTTTGCCTATCATTATACTGAAAAAAAATCAAGGTTCATTGAAAGATACAATTTCTCATTGATGATCTTTCCAGTATTGGGAGTGGCTGGAAGATGAGTTAGCTCTTTCAAAGCTGGTTTGCCTCATCCTATTGATGGTGCCTGCAAAGATTAAGCATGTATGAGTTTTCATTTCTCTGTAGCTGCAGTTGGCTCTGACACTGGAACAGTACATTTCAGAACACTGTCCTGCAGGGATGCTGGATGTGCAGAGCAGCATGGTCTTACTGAACTGTCAGAAGTGAGAACAAGCACCTTCACCCTCATCCTCTTCTGTGAGTGCATTCTGTCACTTCTTAAGAAGACAAGCAGTAGAACTGTTGTTTTCCTTCACAGAAATGGCCAGAGACATGGAAGGAAGAGGAGGAAAAGCACAACCCAGCATAAGAAGGTGTCTGCTGCTCCAAATGAACTGCAGGGATGTCAGACACATCATGCTTTCTCTGAAGAGAGCCTCTGTGAAATCCATGACAAAATCATTGCTGTATAGTAAATCCCCTGGTGGAGTATCAAATCTGCTGCTCCTACTCAGGACAAGAAATACCCAGTTCAGCTGGCACCATCGATGCTCAAGGGTTAGCCCTGGCCTGCTCAGCTTCCCACCATCTCCCTCAGCACTATGGCCAGGATGATCATCAGCGCAGTGTCGTGGGGAGACATCACTGGCCTAAAGATGCCTGGCTGGATTTGCCAGGTGCTGATGGGTTGGAGAGGTTCCAGTCTGGGGAGAAGGGAGCTGGACTCAGAAGCAGGATGTCTGCAGGACACTGTAGCCCCGGGTGAAACTGGTGGGGAACTACCCCTCCTCTGCCTCTGGCTCCACAAAGTGGGTGGCCACCTCTGCTGCCCCATAAGCAGAAATCCACCACTTCCCTGGCCCTGCTGATAAACAGGAATTGGGGGCTGTTAGAACTTTCTGTTTCTGCAACAGCAACCAACCAGTTGGTGAACGCAGGTTTAGGCAGACCTCTGAGTGGTGCTGGGAACAGCTCGCTTGAGAGCAGCGAAGCAAAGGCCTGGGTGATCCAGCCTTGTCTGGAAGCTTTGCTGCAGGTCAGTATGATTGTTGTATGCCTCACACAGGGGAAGTACCATTGCTGTGAGGACAGCCTGAGGTGATGATAGACAGCCCATTCCACTTTGTGGTGAAATGGGTGAGGGCAGTGTGGCCTCTGAGCTGCCATGGCTGCGGCACTCAGCTCTCCCTTAACTCCCATACCTCAGGTTCCCTTGCACAATGCTGGAGTGCTGGCACTCACTCCTGCTTAGAAAGGGAAAAAAAAACTCCCACATTTTGGATGTGTTGAGGAGCTGGAGGTGGAAAGCTTTCCACTTACTAACAGGAGGCAGTGAGAAGTTTCAAAACAAAATCGGAGAAAGGGAGGAGAGGTAGGCGCTTTTCAGTGGAAAAGTTTTGTGTCTCAGCCGTTCGAATATGTTTTGATATTAATAATCTGGATTCACATTTTCTTTCTTGTTATCACAGCATTATTTTTTTTCTATCTGATTTAATTAGTGAAGAGCCGGTTGGTTCCCATGTTGAAGCAGGTGTTCCATGTTCTTCCCCTTGGCAGACAGTACTGGTGCTCAGCTCCAGGCATGATGGCAGCCTCCTAGCCAACATTTGGTAGGGGCAATTAAGGGCTGCTGGGATTTACTCTGCTTTCCTGCAGGTGCACTGGCTGCTGTATGATTTTTGACCACCTACACCCATTGCATGTATATGCAGGGAAGGGACTATCACAGCAAAAGGTACTTCAGGTGCAATGGTACCACCATGTGAAGATCTGTTTTCTAAATCAGCCTTGCAAGGGATGCTTATCTCTGTGGCTTTTGCCTGAAAATTTGGGTTTCTTCCTTGCCATTAGCCACGCCTCCTGCCCCATCCCAACAGTCTCCCAGCACCTTCTTGAGAGTAACTTAGCACAGTTCGGTGCCTATACTGGAGAGTTCTGAGACAGTGCTGTTGCTTTCTCAGGCTTTTAATTCACAGTTTGGGATTAAGGAAACACAGGAAAGAGAGGCAACACCACCTCAAAAGCTCTCACCTAACCGCAAACCATGAAAGCATCCGTGGGGATATTCCACAACACAAGGGTACTCATACTGTGTGCGACCTGATTCTGCCAGGGAGCTGAAGGGAGTATAGCATATCACTTCCTGCTGGCTTTGGCAGTGATGGCACAGGGAGCAAATGTTCAGACCTGCACAGAGCAGTGTGAAGATCCCACAAGTCTAGTGAGTTGGCCAAAAATATTTCTCCTGCCCCAGAAGGTACTTGAAAGCAGTGCTGTGTCTTGAGATGGTAGGACTTCTGTGCAGCATAGAAGTGTGTCGTTGTGTGACCATGAGATATGTACCCGAACAACAGTGTGTGCCTAGGGAATTGCAGACAATAAAGAAAAAATGTAGAAACTGAGGGTGACAAGGCTGCTTCAGATAGGGATGAGTAACAGAGGAGTGGAGACTAAGCAGAGCACTTGCTAGAACAGATCTTGACAACAGGGAGGGGAAACAGAAGTACCACTGGTCCAGATCAGGGTATTATTGCTCCTTCAGCCCAGTACATTAACTTCAAGGGTGGAGAAAGTTTCACTGAAAACATATTTGTGTAAGACAGGGAGAGGGGAACTGGTCTGGGAGCTCCTGGCTCAAAAGCAAGATACCTCGGGTATTCTCAGAACAGCAAGGGTTTGCAAATGCTACTGACAGCCATTGCCATTGTGCTCAGCTTTGCCTCATTCACCAAGAGAGACGTACATGCTGAGACCCTGCAGCACTTACAAGCCTTTGTTTACATACTCCAGGCTTTAAGTACTTGCAATTTTGTGGCCTGCCCCACACACCCTAAAAACTTGTCCTTAACAGTTATCTCTTGATTTGAAACTCCTGTTAAAACAAAAACAACTGGTTTTGGCTGCTCTGCCAAACAGTCTTTCTCCATAAAAAGAATCCTGATTTTTCTCTCCGGGAAAAGTAAAAGGTTACAACAATATTTAGGTTGAAGTTTCTTGTGATCAGGCATTTATTTTTGCTCACTCTCTCAGTGTGTGCGTGTGTAGATGGAAAGTACCTTAAAGTGAGTCAGCATTACTCAAAGTGAATCATTGGTCACTGCTTCTCTGGGACGTTCATTCAATGTTGCATGCAAGTTTTCTCTTCCTTCCAAGCCAGGATGGGATTATTTATGCTGCTTTCAGACTGCCGTAGACATTAAGGAACTGGCTTAGAAACCAAAGAATATCTCATACCCACTGGCGTCTTAGAAACCAAACAAAAGACTATCTCATACCCACTGGTGTCTTGAGGGAAGGCTTGATAACAGACCACTGTACCATTACTACAGTAGTAATGAGAAATAGAAATATTGTTTTCATCTCCTCTCCAAGGTAAGAGGCTTGCCTCCACCTGGATTGGTCTATAGCATCACAGAAAAGTTTGTTTCTTCATGAAGTAGCAGTATGTCCAAACAAGCAGCAGAATTATCAGAGCTCTTATCCCTTTTTCCATCATTAGATCATGCACTGTCTGAAGCCCCAGGGAAGCGTAGATTTTGAAGTAAATTTAGAGGGCACCTAAGAAACATAGAGGAAAGAGATAGATCTGCACAGCAAGGGCCTTGGAGAAGCAGGTTTAATTTGTTACCTGCTCTTTACTTCAGATTCAATTCTCAGGACACATCCTGGAGTACAAGGATAAATTTATGACACTAGGTAGGTTGTCCTTGTTGGGAACGATTTAAAAGCATGTGTTTTCTCTGTGACCAGATTCACTCAGTTTGTACCATGGACACAGGAGCTGTTAGTCTGCCTTTTTAACAGCTGCCTGTAACACTGTGGGGAGGCTTTTCCTTTCCATTTCAAGAAGCCACAGCCTTTTCTTTCAATCAGACGCCAATTCCCACAGTAAGCTCTTGGTGAAGAGCTGTGTCTCCTTTTTTAGCAGTTGCTTCCCTCTCCAGCAAAGAGTGGTGACATTTCCCTGTCCCAGGCTTGCAAGCAGCAATGTCCCAGCATTGCTCTGTTATTCATGCTGACCCACTGCAACAGCCAGGCTGTCTCTGCCAAGGCTGCTTGCATGGGTAACACCTTGGCACTTGACAAGCGTGATGCTTTGAGCAGGGGGAAGTGAGACCATATTGTGTCTCCTGGGCCACAAAGGACCTGGCTCAAGGGGCTGTTGCTCCCTGATGTTGCTTCTCTGGCTGCCCATGACAGAGTCCAGATAATCAGTATTTCCTGCACAACAGAGATAGCCAGTGTCATAGTCAGCCTCCTCTGACTTCAGAGGGTACTTAAGATAGCAGCACTGGCCTAGGAGTGAGGCTGCCTTGTACGCCTCCACTGTTTCCACTAAAACTGAAGTATGGAACAAATGCCAAATTTGGTTTACTTTGTCAGGCAAAAGTGACCCTATTTCATGGAGAACAGGAGTAAAGTATGAGCTTTATTGTGTTTTCACTTTCTTCAAGCAGTTCCATATTCAATATGAATGCTAGAAAACACATTTGTGTTCCGTGTATGCTGAGGGAAAGGTATGTGTGTGGATCTGCTGGTATGGTGAGCCAAGGCTGGTGAGAGACCAGAGGTCATGGTGTGCTTCTTCCTGCTCCACAGCACTTGCCATACTTCAAGATGCATGGGGTAGATGAGCAATTGTGGTACTGGGTAGGCACCCAAACAGTGCCTCTCAGAAACCCTCCCCCTGGCATATACTTAGACTGTGTCCAGCTACCCCTGTGGTTTTGACGCATTCAAAAGGTGGGTGCAGTTGAGAATGGAGCTGGGGAGCTGGAAGATGTATTCGAAGGTGCTCCCTCCATTGAAAAGTGGCATGGAGTTTTCCCTCACTAGCATGGCTGTTTCTCTCCTCCCCTTTTGTCAGCCCCATGGGAACTCATTCAGGAGCTGAACAGCTGGAGAGGCTACTTATGCCTAGTGTCAATGGGAGTGGGAAAGGCAGCCAGCAAATCTGTGGAGCTCACTGCCGTTGGCTGGAGAGAGGGTAAGAAAGAGCCCTGCTGGTGAGTGGCTTGGGAAAAAGAGAGGGAGGAATAAAAAAGAAGTTAAAATAGGGACAAGAACTCTGGCATTTATGAATGACTTGGCATAGAATCTGCTCTTGAACGCAGTAACTGACACAGAGTTTCCAGCAGTCTCACGTGTCTGAAGGAGTGTGTCTAGTATGCCCAAGATGCCTGTTGCTTTAGTCACTTCACTTCCGGAGAAAGGCAGAGTGTGGGGAAAACAGCC